AAAAATAAATCTGTTCTTTTTTTCTTATAAAAGACTAAATAAAACAAAAATATTGGTGGTAATTTTTGACGTTTGTAACTTTACAAACGGCAGCCCATAGGAAACATCTTGAATTCATGCTTGATCCTCAGCAGAACTGAACACCTGAATGCAGCACACACATCAAGTCTTTTGCTCTGACTCTTCAGGTGCGTGTAGGTCAGATTCTTGTCTTATTTTCTGGACTGAGCTTTTACTCTGTGGACTTAGGATGAACTAAAAAAGAAAACTAAAAGAAAAAAGAAAGAAAGTGTTTAGAGTACTTCAGATGGGGCCTGATGAACCAAAATGAAGCAGAAAGACACAGTGAGTCAAAACCTTCCTGTGAACTCTTCAGGACTGTCATTTTAAACAAACTTGTGTGTTTTTCATCAAACTGAAATTAAAAGAATCTTCTCAACGACTGTGATCAGAATCAAAAAGTCCATTACCTGTCCTCTAAACTCCACTGCTTTGAGTCCAGCATACACAGGTATAAAGCTGCTGGCAAGCAGAGCCTGGAGAGGTTAGAGGACTGTTACTGTCCAGATCCAACACTGAGGACAAAACTGAGGACAAACAGGTGCAGACAGGAAGAACCTACTTTAATCAGCTCGTCTCTGGAGCTAAACCTGGACACCATGCAGTTCTTGCCGCTGCGTGAGTGTGTGATGGACACATGGAGGCGATCATTAGCCAGACTGTGAGCCTCTGTGGGAAGAATCTCCTCTATTCCATCCCTGCAGAAGAGATGCAGACATTTCTCAGGGTTTAATGAGGACAAGTTCACAGAGTGGAAACAACTCAGTCATCTCTGTACCTGTCTGTGGCACAGCTCCACACTAAACATTAAGACATGAAGCATTTTAGGACTTCTTCTGCTTTACTTCAAACATTAGGTTTTTATTCCACTAACAACACGGGCCACACATTCTTTAGTTAAACTGGTCTAGTACCATAAGAAGAAGTTTTAGGACTGGAACTTTAGGAAAATGTCAAACTTGATAAGAAAAATCCTTAGTTTGTTTTCTACTATCTGAGTTTTTAAGGAGTGTTTGCTGACATTTATTTATTTATTTATTTATTTATTTATTTATTTATTTATTTATTGTCTCTGAACATCACAAA